ATGGAATAGGCTGAAATTTTAAAGGAACAATTTTTAGAGAAAGGATATAAAAAAGCTCCCTTAGAACAAACCTGTAAACAAATAGAGAAAATAGAAAGGGAGCAGTTGTTGCAATATAAGGATACATATAAAAAGGAGGTGGATGGAGAGAAAGTACCATTCATTTTTAATTTTTGTACCAATAATCAGGATTTGAGGAAGATTATCAATAAAAATTGGCACATTCTTAAACGGATGAAAAACTACTTGACTTCATCGAGGACAGTCCCAGATTTATTTTTAGGGGAGCAAAGAATTTTAAAAGAATTTTAACACAAAGTTTTTTAGATAAAGAAGATAAAAAGGAAGTGAATAGTTTGATGAAAGAACAAAAAGGTTTTTATTATTGTAGTGATTGCAAGGGATTGTAAATTAAGAAAAAATAAACATAAAAAAATTCTTAAATTTGCATCACATGCCACAAAAAAAGAATACGATATAAAATCTTTTATTTCCTGCAACACTAAAGATGTATTTTATATGTTGACCTGCCACTGTGGCTTCCAATATATAGGAAAAACTTCACGCCTTTTAAAAATTCGTATTGGGGAGCATATTTATAATATTAATCGAAAATTTGTTAAACGTAGCGTCTCCAGGCACTTTATGGAATTCCACAATGGTAACCCTGAGGGTTTGGAATTTATAGGGATAGAAGGAATAAAGGCACATTGGAGGTGGGGGAGACAAAGACAGTCTCCTCAGTAAAGCAGAGATGAGATGGATATTTAATATGGACACCCTTATACCACAAGGGATGAATGCCGATTTTGAAATTACCCAGTATATATAGTTAATTAGCCCTATAAGTGATATGTTATTTTAAAAGAGTATATTATGAGTTTTATTAAATTTGGTCAGAAGAGTTTTTTGCAGACTGGAGATTATTAATGATGATTTTATATGATGATTTTTTATAAAAGATTTTTTAAAGAGTTCTTTAAACATAAAAAAATTTTTAAAGGAAATTTATACAAATATGTGTCTTTCCTTATTATTTTTAAATTATTTGATATGCATTATAAGGAAATATTTCATGTTTCTAACATATGTTTCTTCTTGTTTCCCCTCCCTTTCCCCTGCCCCTCATGAGCTCTTTGATATGTTCCCTGCTTTTATCCCTTTTTTGGGGGATTTTTCTTCAGAGGTTTCTCATATAAATGGATTTGTTGACATGTATATAATATCTTTTTTGGGGGTTAAGGATGTATATTTATGTGATGAACTGTTTTAGTTATGTTATATATTGAAATGTGCCTGAAGAGGTTAAGTTTGCCCACATACATATTGAACTTTTATAAGTAATAAGGGAAAATCGTCAAGAAACAGCAGATAACTACACTCCGCCCAAAGGACATCGTGACACAGCGGAACTGGATGAAAAGGGTGCCAGGATGAAGGATGCAGTCTTGGCACTGAAAACAGAAGCAGGAGGAGTCTCCATTCCGAAAAAATGTGCCAATACCGGCATATTTAAAGATCTGAAAGGAGAGAATGGAGAATGGACTTTTGAAAAAGGCTAACGCCGAAAAGCGTCAAGTACCTGTTTATATGTATAGTGAACTCTTTTATTTTGGTTTTACAGCTGTCTTGTAAAAAGTTTGCCCAATAAATTTTACTTATTTTAAACATTATTACCCTATGTTGTTTTTCCTGTTTTGTTTTACCTACAGGACTGATTTATGTATACATGGATGGTAATATGCATGTTTTTTAGTGTGCTCTCACCAACTCATTTCTGATTTTATTACATTGCACGTATATGTGGTGAAGTGACCCACATAGGTGATTGTAGCACCTTCAAAGTTTTACTATTGGTTTATAATTGTTGTGATCAAAAAAGTAATTTTATCCCATTGCGCTTAAGTAAAAAAGGTGATTTTATTTAAACATTTAAATGCTGCAGGTAGGATAATTAAGTCATTAATTAATTAGGAATCAAGGCAGCATATAAATATTATATACTATAGGGCAGTACTTTCCATATTTTAACAGTGGATATTACATCCAACTAGCAGCAAACATTTACTCTATTTCCATATCTTAGCATGAATGAGTGCATCACACATCAGTTCTAGAGTAGACTAAGCATGTATGAGTATCATACTTTTTCTGTAAGTAACATTAGAATATGACACAAGCATACACACAAGCATTGTCTCTTGGCCGCCTAGTAAGCATATTATGCTCTACAGAGAAAGGAGAAGAAGAGGGGAGTTTGTAAATATTCAACATACAGTAATTTTGTCTATTGACGACAGGCAAAAAGATGTTTTTTTAAAAAATAAAAATTTTGGAAGTGATTTTGTGGTATGGCACTACTCTAAGTGGGGGAGCCACCACTGGAAAAGAAACTGCACTACATCCTCTATTATCCTGCACATCAATTTTATCTATCATTTTCAGGAATGAAAGTGCTGCGTTGTGTTTTACTGATGAGAGCATATTTTTATTGGGTATCCTCCTAAGTCCTCCTATGTAAACAATGGTATAGTTGAGATTGGCTTAACGTTTTATCTACATTCTAGTAAATTGTATCCACATTCTAGCCTGTGAAATGCTCAATACAATTCCTAGTGGTTTCGAACAGTGACTTTCTGCACTCACACTTTGATCTACCTGCAGTGACATCTATTTACTCTTACCTGATACTCACTCTCTTGTTTTATTTTCTCTACATTTTTCAAACCACCTGTCTTCCTCATTCTTCATCTTCTTTTTTCTTCATTATGCCTAATGCTTACCATTGGCCAGGGGTTTTGAGTTACTGCACGCGCTATTTTGATGTTTATACAGGCCCAGGAATGACAAAACATTTTTATGAAGCAACCTATGTCTATTAAAATCATATAGCTACATCTGCTGTTTATCTGCATTCATCCTTCTTTTATAATCCAATCTTGCAAACTACAAATTGGAGCATATATATATTACACATTTTTAAAAGTTTCAATGCAATAACTATGTTTCTGGCATAATGCATTTAATAGGTCATAAAAAAGTTACTCTTTAATATATCCAAAGATCGGCAATGTGGCATCTTGCAAACAGTTTATCTCTGAGGACCTTGTTCTGCACTCTTATTTGAAAGTGACTGAATATCCTTCAAGCAAACCCTTTTAAAATTATTATTGTATTTATTGCTAAAAACAGGTTTAATTAAAAACAAATTAAAACAATTCTGCTACTTTTACTTTGAATTTTGAATAAATAATAAGTTTACTAATAAATTTACTAAAATCCATATAAAATGAATGTAAAAAGGTTATCATGTACTGTAATCTATCTGAAGTATAAAACAATTTTTGTCTATACAAGACAAAATATATGCTTGATTCTAATAATTCAAAGTTTTTGTAGAGAAGTAGCACATTTCGTTAGAACATCAGCAGTGAATATATATGTAAGTTCTCTGAATACAACACTATTATTTATTATAAATGCTCTATTAATTACTATTTTCAGAATGTAAATACTAGCAAACAACTCTTCATAGACCTGCTGAATTTAGGATAATCCATAAAAATATTATTGAAATTATCCTCATGGTGGCGCTCTTTTGTCACATACATCATGAGAAAACACTCATATATGTTTCTGTTATTTCCTTCTAGTTTGTAATACTATTGGGAATGTATAAACAAATTTCATAATTCAATTTGTAAGTACGTTGCCAGTGGAGTTTAAAATGATATACTTTTACTATGACAAAACTTGAATAGGTCGTGATATTTGTATGTCAGGTAAAGCTTTTTCAATTGTGTGACCCTTTCAGTATGAAACCTGACAGGCTTACTGAAAAGCACTGAGTCTACCGCAGGTCTATTTAAGTAGAGTACTTAGATATTTTCCTTTAGAAGCTACCATATGTTCTGAAAGAGTAATTGGCATAATTAAAGGACCACTATAGGCACCCAGACCACTTCAGCTTAATGAAGTGGTCTGGGTGCCAGGTCCATCTAGGATTAACCCTTTCTGCTGTAAACATAGCAGTTTTACAGCAGAGAAACTGCTTTGTTTACAAATGGGTTAATCCAGCCTCTAATGGCTGTCTCATTGATAGCCGCTAGAGGCGCTTCCGCGCTTCTCACTGTGATTTTCACAGTGAGAAGACGCTTCCGTCCATAGGAAAGCATTGAGAATGCTTTCCTATGAGACTAACTGAATGCGCGTGTGGCTCTTGCCGCGCAGGCACATTCAGCCGATGACGGCAGAAGAAGGAGGAGATTCCCCAGTGCCGAGGGAGCCCGGCGCTGGAAAAAGGTAAGATTTTAACCCCTTTTCACCCTAGAGCCTGGCGGGAGGGGGGCCCTGAGGGTGGGGGCACCCTCAGGGCACTATAGTGCCAGGAAAACGAGTATGTTTGGTCCTTTAATATTGTCACAACCCGATATGGTAAAGGTAGTCTTGTACCACGAGCTCAAGCTTTAAAATAACGTATTTACATTATGTCCTTCTTTAGTATGTAAGTGTGTGCATGTGTGTGTAAAATATCAGCTTTGACTTGTTTTATATTTTAGTGTATTTGTGTAAAATAACCTATTGTTTTAGTTTTATTTCTAACTATATTTGATATATTTGTCAGTTTCTATGTGTTTGTGCATGTATGCTTGTGACATAATATATTTAAGTTTTAGTTTGGTGCCTGTGTTTGTGAAAAATAATAATTTAATGCAGTTTTATTAAACACACACACACACACTTTATATAACACTAGTGGATTTGAAATTAAACAAAAAATCAAGGTGCTGTCATTGTAAATGTTTTATTTTTCCAAAGATCAAAGTATTCTATAATGGGGGCGGGGCCTGACCAGCATGGAGTCTGGTCACAACTTGCAGGAGCTCTCTGCTAAGCTCATCTCCCAAACGTCTTACTGAGACTACTGCCGCTTACCGCCTGAACCAAAGCGTGTCTCAATTGACACAGGTGAGGACTTGAGCGTTCCGGGTCAGGAAGCCATGATGCCGATCACGAAAAGCCTTACAGCTTGGTTGAGAGTGCAGGCTCCAGGTGGGAGAAACAGACAAATCCCAGTCCTGTGCCACATACTGCAGCAGGATCTCACAGAGCCCCCCACCACCCCTGTGGGCCAGGGGGATATCCCGGTCCACACTACAGTGCCTGCAGAGAGGATAAACCCTGGCAAACCACGCATCGGAACCATGGAGTGCAATCCCACACACAAGATGGCGGACGCACTTCCCGGTCTCAGTTAAACCAAGCAAACAAGTACTCACTACAATCCGCTGTCTGTGGAGAGATTCATGACTAAGCTAAACGCTATCTCTGAGGCGATCCCCTGGCTGAAACCCAAGTAGAGGATCAGAGGGGCGATGCACAAGATGGCTGTGGATCACACTGCATCATTCACAAGTGTCCTAGACCCCAGACTGGTAATCCCACTGACTGCAGAATGCAACTCACCTATGACTGCAAACACCTACTCTTAAACTACGTTAAATGTTAACCCTGCTACACGGGCACTAGGTTGACCCACTCAGGGCAGCGACAGCCTCTGCTACACAAAGCTGGCACACTTATTTTTCTCTTCTGTGGGCAGAGATCCAGCTTGTTAACGTACCATGTTTACAAGTTGAATTACCGTGCAGTTTAATCCTGATGGTTTCTTCATTTACACCTATCTTTATACATTCCTGTCTGAAAGCTATGCCATTACGGAAACATAGATTTCTCAACTTAACTCAGACGACTGTTTGCCACACTCTTAGTCTGTTTAACCCCTTCATAAAATATAAAATTGAGCATGTATTCTGGAGTACTCCAATGTTAGAGCGTGATGATATGCCTGAGGAATGCCGTTGGGGTACCTCAGGCTTCTTTGTTATATATAAATATGCACTGCAAAAATAATAATAAAAGAAAAAAAGTATTCTATTGTTCCTTTTAAACTATTGCACTATACAGTTATCCTTAAGATAAGCTAATGAAATGATATAAACTCTGTGACCTTTCATACCAATGACCTGTGAAAACACTTCTAATAGTCTACAAGATATATTTATTCCTCGCCAATAAATAAGCACTATAACGAACAAGTTAAATGGACACTATAGTCACCAGATACACTACAGCTTAATGTAGTGGTTCTGGTGTTTGTAAGTAGTGATGTCCCGAACTGTTTGCCACAGTTCGCCACGAACGGTTCGCTGCGAATGGTTCGCCGCGGACTCATCATTGAGTAAACTTTGACATTGTACCTCACAGTTAGCAGACACATTCCAGCCAATCAGCAGCAGACCCTCCCTCCCAGACCCTCCCACCTCCTGGACAGCTCACTAAGAATGCAGCTTCACAATGGATGCTGTCCAGGAGGTGGGAGGGTCTGAGAGGGAGGGTCTGCTGCTGATTGGCTGGAATGTGTCTGCTGACTGTGAAGTACAGGGTCAAAGTTTACTCAATGATGAGTCCGGCGAACAGTTCGGGACATCATTATTTGTAGTATGTAGTACAAATAATAATCAGAAGTAAGAACTGATTATTATTTGCACCATAGTTTTATTGAGCAGAATGCTATAATATAGATAAAAATATAATAAAAACCATTTAATTTAATTATAGTGTGGCTACACTTCATCTTTTAGAATTTTCTACCTCCCAACTATGTGTTTGCAAGAGCTCTTATTTCCTAGCGAGGTGTCCTTACCCATGTGAAAACAACTTACTGTCATGAGTGGAATGAAATGTTTGAAGAATGTATTATTCTTGTTTCCTTGATAAATCAATGTAACCACTATATATGCTACAGACCTTAATGGCAGGAGGACCCTGTTTTTTCATATTAAATACAGGCTTTATGTATGCTTTAGTTATTCCATAATGCCATAAAGGATAGGTTACTTTATCCAGATATGAAATGGGAGTTATTAATTTACAAAAGTCAGAAAGACTTGCTCTGCTTTTCACTATGTCAGATAAAAAAAGACAGGTCATTATTGAATTTGATTTATGACATGCTTCAATCTTTAATGGATTAGAGAGTAAAGTATTTTACTGCGATTGTTGCTTGGAGCATGAAGTTAGAGGTTAAATAATGCAAACAACTCAAAAGTAGGCAGTGATTGAAAATATCAGGCTTATTCCAACTGTTAAATGCATCTTCAGATCATGAACATGTCCTAAAGAACGTAAACTGAATATAATTTGAATCATCAGATTTAGGTGACAAGTAAATATTCCAATAAAAAACAAAGGTAAAAGCACGCTAAAAGCAAATGTCTTGTTCGCTAAAAATGTTAATAAATATTTTGTTGTTATAATTCTGGTTAATTCTGGTTAATTTCACATAGTTTTCTTACAATGAGAATTTTTTTTCTTAGGATATATTTTAGAGTGGCACTATAGTTACCATAGTGATGGAACGCACACGATGTTCAGGACTTCTGACCGGAACCGGAAACGCATGTGTCGCGCTGTGGTACATAAGCCGAACAAGCTTGGCGAAAATGCGGTAAAATCAAGTGATGGAATAAGCCATGAAGATCTACGAGGAGAGTTTGTTACCTTCACAACCAATTGGATCAATATACAATCAACGCACACCTGGAGGATTTTTCAATCAACTTCTCTGGATCAGCAGTATTTAAATGGAAGTTGAGGAGGGATGAGAATATGCATGTTTGATTTTTATTCATTGCCATTCACTGATATCTCTGAAGAAGTCCATTTGTATTGGATGAAAAGCATTAGATATTTTTTAATTACCAATTTAACCCCTTAGTAACCAGACCGTTTTTCAATTTTCTTACCGTTAAGGACCAGGGATCTTTTTACATTTCTGCTGTGTTTGTGTTTAGCTGTAATTTTCCTCTTACTTATTTACTGTACCCATACATATTATATACCGTTTTTCTCGTCATTAAATGGTCTTTCTAAAGATACCATTATTTTCATCATATTACATAATTTACTATAAAAAATTATAAAATATCTTGAAAAACTGTGAAAAAAACCCACACTTTTTCTAACTTTGACCTCCAAAATCTGTTACGCATCTACAACCATCAAAAAACACCCATGCTAAATAGTTTCTAAATTTTGTCATGCGTTTAGAAATGCCCAATTGTTAACATATTCTTAGATTTTTTTTGTAAAGTTATAGGGCTATAGGTACAAGTAGCACTTTGCTATTTCCAAACCAATTTTTTTTCAAAATTCACATGTATATATTTTTTAAAAGAAGACAACCTAAGGTATTAAACTTGGGGTATTTTGACTCTTTTCATGCAACCTATCACTAATCTATGCCAAATAAAAATAAATTAAAAATAATGGGTGATTTTTTTTGACACACAGAGTAATTTAAGAATACATGTACAGAGAACTTTAAGGGTTACTGCCAAAGAACACCCCAATATGTGTTCAGCAACATCTCCAGAGTACAGTGATACCCCCAGGTATAGGTGTGTTGGGTTCTCTGGGGGCTAAAAGACCTTATTTTGAGGGTGCGCGTTCCATTTTCCAACTTGTAATTTTCTCAGCTGGTCATCATACACCCATGTCCTATTTGGGACATTTTTAAAGCCAGCCAATGTAATTTACTCCCATCAAACCATATATTTCTGAAAAGTAGAAACCCCAGGGTATTTCAAATGGTGGTATTTAACACTTTCCATGCACTAATTCTACCACCAGTGTTTTTCAAACTTTTGAGTAGTCATTTTTTTGTGTTATTTTTCTCTCACATTGTACTTTAGGCATGGATTCTCAGTTCCTGTTATGTGTTACTGACAAAGAACACCCCAATATGTGTTCAGCAACATCTCCTGAGTTCAGTAATACTCCCCATGTACAGGTTTTATGGTGTTTTGAAAAGGTACAGGCTCAATAAAGGACTTGCTGGGTCTTTGTTGCCTTTTGAGACCATATGGTTGCCTAGGAATGTGAAATAACATCAAGGCATACCATTTTCAAATGTAGATAACCCAGGGTATTCCAAATGGGGTATTTCCAGTCTTTTGTAGTAGCCACTTAGTCACAAATGCTGGTCAAGGTTAGCGTTTTATTTGTTTATTATATATGTTTTTTTTTTCAATTTATATTATATATATATGTATATATATATATATATATATATACATACATTTGTGTGTGTGTATGTGTATGTATTATATACACACACTCACACACACATATAATACGTGTGTATGTATGTATATATATATATATATATATATAAATATATATATATACACATATATACATATACGTGTGTATATAATACATATGTGTGTGTATATATACACACACACACACACACACACACACGCTTTTAATTTTATATATGTATAATATATTACAATTAAAGCATTTTATAATATATTATACATATACATACATTATACATATATAATGCATATGCATGATTTCATTATAAGTGTATTTTGAGATATAGGACCGTTTTTTGTCGGACGTACCTGATACGTTCATGGTCACTAAGGGGTTAATATACTTTGCTTTTAACACGTTTTTATATCAGGCGATTTGTGCCTAATAAAAGATATTCAACTTTCAACTAATTCCTGACTCCGTCCAAGTTCCTGTGACTGATGAGTATCCAGTTTGATCCAGTGTGGGGAGTTGACCACTGTAGCCCTATTTTGGGCTTCAAGGCACTTCTTGAATTCAAATCTTGTGAGTGTAACCAAAAATTGCTGTTTTTCATGTTTTTAACTGTACATCACATGTGTTGTTTGTTTTTTGTTCTCTAGAATTTAGCTGTATCCTAGTTTTTGTATACATTAGAGTGGCACTAGCCTGAAAGTAGTGTCTTTCTGAGATATGAATAATTAAAGATTATAGATTTAAATGCTTAAAGATGACAAAGATACAGAGATGTAATGATTACAGGAATTGAAAAATGTCATATAAAGTAAAAGCTGGTATGTAATTTTGAATAGAAGTTTTAAATAATAAATAGTTAGGTACTATTTTACAAGGACTCAAGTAAAACCACGTTTGTAATTATTTTATTTTTTTAAATTAAGCATTATTGACGAGTAGCTACATAGAACTAATGAAACACAAAAACGAGGAGAGCACCAACATGTTAATCCCAATACACTGGAAAAACCAAGCCCCTCCAACCATCAGGGAGTGGATACAGAAAGTGTAATCTGCTAGACTCATGGAGGAAGTGCATTCATCTCTAACACACACGAATGCTATACACTACACTAAATGCTGGGCTCCCTGAATC